AGGGAAAGACACGAAAAGCACCTCGGATCTGCTTCACGCCAGGGCACAGCAAAGGTACCATGTTGACATATGCTACGCCATGGAAGAAAATCTGCTTGTCCTCATCTCCCTGGAAACACAGAGCAAGGGACTGAGACACTGAACAGGCTGTTATTCTCTTTAAGGAAACAAGGTCACCGATCCCATTAAGAAGAGGCCACACAGCAAACTGATGCACCTGATGAGCCAGTGGCTCTCTGTCACTGGCACAGAGCCGAGACAACCTGGGCGAATACACCAGAGTCATTCGACATGTCGAATACCAATTTTATCCCAGTCCCTGCAGGGGAGCTTTTCTCTCTAATGCCCACACTGTGCCACTCCTCAGGATGGTCATTTTTGAGATACACCTGCAAAAATTACCTGCCATGTGGTTAGAAATCCAAGCGACCCTACCAGAGCTGTGCATCTCAGGTGTGACAGAAATTAGGTAGCTAAGGAAGCCTGAGAGTCCAGGCTAGCAGCAGACTGGTGAAGGTAAGCGAGAAGGATCTCCATCAGAGCTGCAAAATCCTGGCACCAGTGAGTGCTGAAAGGGATTTATACGAACTTGTATGACTTTGCCCTGGAACAGATTAGGAGCTCTCACACGACCAGCCACCAGGAACAGAACCATTAGCTAAGGGGCTGTTTCTTTGTTAAACCACCTGAGCTTACATGCAAAAGAATAACTTATTTACAGCCCAAGAAAGAAGGCATGAATTTCTTCAAGATGTTCCAAACCCTCACTGGCCGAAGATAAGCTCTGTGAATTACCTTAATTCTCAAAAAGCACCCTCTCCCTGACCCCTTCCCACCAAGCTGCCACTGACCATCACTGAGAGCTCTGTATGCTATAAGGAAAAAAATATTATCCTTTGTCTATTTAACAGCTCTGTAAGGCTGATTAATCCCCTTACAAAGCCTCTAGCTCTCTGACTTGCTTTGGCTGGTTCAAGGCTGGGTTTGGTATTACAAAGGCATTGAAAGGAAAACGCTTGATAACACAATGCTGCTCCACAAGCCAGAACAACGTATCCCTCCCCACTTTTACCTTGTCAGCTTTGCTAGTTTTCCCTTTGCTGGGTGAGGCCACAGCCATCCTGCAGACCTCCACAGGACAGTACTGGCACTCTGCAATGCGCTTCTGCAGGCTGAAAACAAAGGAGGGCACTGAGAAGATGCAGAAACCAAAGCGGAGAGCCACACTGCCGTCATTTCTGCCCCAGCAGCCCCAGAGCATCCCCCCCTTGGGTTTGCTCCTGCCCGCTCCCGTGAGACACAGCAAGCACCCTCGGGCCACTGGAACACGTGTGCTTTGGGGCAGGCTTTGTAGATTTTCTTCTCCACCCACTGCTGTGTGCATTTATGGCACAACCAGCTATAAAACAGTTGCGAGAGTGACACACTATGTTTTCTCTCTCCCCTGGTTACTTCAGAAATAAAACAAATAAGCAGGAACATGATTAACTTTGGTATAAATCCTGAACTGCACAGAGCAAGCAGACCCTGAGCTCCCACTCAATGTGCCTTGTAACTCTGAAACCAGCAGGCAGGCTGATGAAAGTGTGAGGGGAAAAAACTTTTAAAAATCAACCCAGATAGAAGGGAGTATTTCCACACATGAGGAGTAATTTAGCTGTGAAACTCACAGCTGTGATGCAGCTGAGACCAAAAATGTAGCAGGACTCAAAGAGAAGTGGGATACTTAATCTTGATTTTGAGCATAATTGGAGCTGCTAAAGGTACCATTTATACAATAAAAAAAAGCAACTGAGGAGTACCCACATGGAGTGAAAGGATTTTAATGTATTGGGAGTTCAGCAAAACTTAATTAACAGCTCAGAGAAGAGGTGTGTGGGCCACCCTACTCCATGTCTGCTCACCATAACTCTGCTGCCCCTTCCTTCAAACCACGGAGGGAACAGTCACCAGCTCCAGTTGCTGGCAGCACGAGTAAGCATTTACAGCCTAGAGAGCAGCTACAGCCAATTAATCTTCTCCCATCACAGCAGAACTAAGCTGCTGCCAGCAGTTAAAGGCAGTTCACTGCTCACTTGCTCATACGAGCACCTTTAGCCAACAGCCACAGGAGGCAAGTTAGAGCCATGGTTTGACCACGTAAGAGGTCTGAGAGCTCCCACATGTTGCTGCTCCCGGGTCACTCGGCTGAGTGCATTCTAGGGTGGTTTCTCCCCACCACTCTGTGCTGGAAGGGGAGTTCTCAGGTCCCTTACACGACTACTGCAGTGGGATCCAGGTAACAGCGCCTTTCCGTGTCCCATACGATTCTCTTCATGCTTTCTGCTTGGATCCTAAACTCCCTGTCCTGTGAGAAACAGCATGCGGTCAGAGGCAGGACAGCAATCTCTGCAGCCTGCATCACCCCCCTAAATGTCCCCTGGGAGAGAAGGCGAGTCAGACAGAGAAGTGTCCAACTCACCATACCCAGGCCATCCTAGCAGAGTAAGTCAGGAGCCCTCCCTGTGGACGCCAGAGCCCATTAGTCTGAGGAGCCTGGCTCAAAAGGAGACAATACAACTCCCTGCCCAGCATCTCAGGAGTGGGTGGGATTCTGGGGACCAGATCTGCCACATGCACCCTAGGGAACTCTCCTGCGGTGAGTTATCATGCCCGCTGTCCCAGTCTCCGTGTCTGGACACGGCACAGAGGACCCACCACCCGCCTTCCTCTCCTCCTCCTATAATGAGTCTCTGCAAGTCTTTCTCAGTCCCTTCAGTGAGATCTGCTGGTTGTCTTCCAGCCATGACACTGCCAGTTCTTCCTCACCTCTCTTTTGTTGAGCTCTCCATCCTCATCCTCATAGGGACCACCAATGATGAAGGAGTTGGGTATGCTCAGAGCACCGGGAGCCATGATATTAGCAAGGGGCCATTTTTTGGGCCGGGGTAATGGCTCTTTTTCACCAGCAAGCTTCAGGATGCCATTCTTGAAGAGCAAGGGGAATTCCTTCTAGAGAGACATGAGAATGAAGGGACTTGCATTTCCAACATGAGCGGGAGCAAGTGCCAGCTGCTGTGAGCTGGGTCTAACAAAGCAAAGCAGAAGTACAGGGGCCTGGCTTGGAAAACACACCCCCCCCACACATACAAAGAATGGAGAAAAAAAGAAATAGCCATGTGGAAAAACCCGTGCCAGTTTCAATCCAAACCTTGCTGAGCAGACCTTTGTTTGTGTTAAAGAAACAGGTCATGCCACAGAGACCCCAAGCACTCACAACAAAGGCTGCAGTCGCACGAGCACAGGAGCTGTACACCCCATGGGCCGGGACACTTGTTCCACGGCACGTAGTGAGGGAGAACAATCCATTTTGTAGCAGCCAAAACCCCTCTCACCATGTCTGGATCAATCCTCACCTCCCCAGCTGCTGGTACTTGCAAGCAAGCCATGTAGTGTTGCAGGGGTCCAGTGGGAGTAAACGCTTCGGGGACAGAATACGCTGCCTCCAGCGTGACACTCAGGAGGTTACTGTTTGAAAGCTGTGCTGCAGAAAGCAGGGGCTGTTCGGTGCACACTGCCACTTCAAGGCCGCCCTGCAAGACGAGGATAAAGTAGAGCCAGTAACTAGACAATTACAACTCTCCTGCTCTTGAGGCAGAAGCAAGCAGAAACCCAAGGCCAGAATGTATAATGTTATCTTATTCCTCACCTCAGATGTAAAAGAAAACAGACCAGCAAAGGAAAGGAATTTCGTGATCCATTTGCGTGAACTGCGATGGTTTTTTGATTAAATTGGAGCCTGCTTGAGGCATGGCGTATGCCCCAAGGGTCTCATAAAATGAGCCAGGGAGAAAGAGACAGAGTCTCATAAAACAAGCCACAGAGTAAGAACATCAGGGATGGAAAACAATGATTTTCCCCTGGTGATTCAGAGCATGCCAAAGCTAGGGCCACACTTCAATTCTGCCCTGTCTCCATGTGGTGTGTGCAGTCTTTAATTACCTGTCCCAGCCCCGGATGGATGCTGTGCAACGAGAAACCAGGCGGTCAGCATTTATTAACTCTCCTCCCTCATGGGCGCCCCTCTGCCTCGCTTACTGCGTAACGCCTCTTAAACACAGAAAAGTTAATGCAGCACCCGCCTCTCCAATTCACTCACAGTGCTAACTGCAGGCAGGCTCAGGAACAAAATTAGACACATTTTCCCAGTCTCATACTTCATTCCCTGCTTCATTCACTGGGTACTTTTCAGCTGGCTGAATGAGTAAGGACCTTGCAGAAAAGGCAGGCAGAGCTTGTACAATAATGGACTCTGAGGCATTTTATCTACAGACTAATGAAGCTGGGCAGGTAATCCTGCCTTTGCCTTCTCCTGGTTTCTCAGCACCATGCTTTCCATCTTGAATATTTTTTCCAGAGCAATTTGGTAGCTGCACACATTAACATTTCCTAGCACGACCTCACCTATCATAGGCAACTAGGGACAGACGTCAATGGGAGAAGGAAAGGCCTCCAAGCTTGTAACATATAGGGCCATAGTGATGAGCTCGGCAGCTGAGTCATGCTCGCCTTCCCATTAAAAAGCAGCAGAGACTTGAACGAGCGAAGGAACAGTTCCGAATTCCACATACCTTGGCCTCCGGCTGAAGGCTCTCTAATGGAGAGGTAGGCACTGCATACAAAGGAGCTGAGACCTTAAATGAACACTGTCCTGGGAAGAAACAGGAATGAGAACAGCACAAAGTGAGACCCTCTGCAGAGAAATCGTGGCCTAGCTCCTAACGCTGAGCTACGGATGTCACCCCCTCTTCCCCCGCACCCAGCTTTCTACAGATGCTACAAAGTGCATTTTGTCTAAAGGAGGTAAGTTACAGTCAGAGGTCCATAAGCAAAGACCAAAAAGTGCCAGGGAGTAAGAAGTGGTTATGGAGACCGTGGAAGTCAATGTTGTACCTTGCAGCAGAGGTAGAAGGTCCACCACGGCTTGGCCAAGAGGCACAGTCTTCTCCTTCTGTCTCCTCTCCCTTTGCAACACCTCTGTCACTGTCACTAGAGAGATGAAGAGAGAGGAGCTGGCAGAGTTTCTCAGACAGCTTCAGACCAGCAGTTCAGGGGCTGCAAAGGGTCTGTGTCGGCTCCAGCACACGCTCCTGCTTCATCTCCCCAGGCCAACAAGAACAGCAAAGCCAAGGAGCACAGGCCAACATGAAAGGGGATTCTTCCAGCTGGCAGAGAAGTGCTGAGACCCTCCCCCCGCCGCTGCTGAAGTGCTATTCTTGAACGAGTGACTCCTGCGGCAGGCAGGCAGAGCAGAGCAGCTGGCAGCACCCACCTCTGAGGCGGGCGATTCAGCATCAGGTACTTACGGAGCACAGGTTTTTGCGCAATGTCATCCAAGGAGTTGGGCCCATCGGGGCTGCACTCGAAGCTGGTCATGAAATTATAGTTTGCTGTCCCATTTGGCAAGACATCAGTCTTGGAGGAGTCTCCCAGGATCACTCTGTTGTACTCCACACGGACCAAAGTAACTGACACGTCATTTTTGATACTTTTCTGTCAAACAAAGAGCACATTAAGCAGTTGGCTCTGCAGCAACAGGCCCACGACCAAAGTTGCCTCTGGGAGGCAGCTCAGTTCAGTGCCCAGAACAGGGTTCACTGGTGGGGGTCTTTGGCTGTCCCACTACAGGAATGAGGAAGAGGAGCAGAGCTTGCCCACCCTGAGACCTCACCCTGCACCATCTGTAAGAGGGAAATTCCCTCCTCCACCATGCTGCAATGCCCCAGGGATTGCCAAGACTTGCTGCTGGAAGGGTGGGGGCCCAGAGGGGTCCAGCCTTCACCTCAGGAAAGGCAGTGAAAGACACATCTTTGATATTTTTGTGCTTCCAGGAAGCTTGAGATTTTTGTCGTCTGCTAAGAAGGTAGCTCCTGAGCTGCATGGCTGAGCTCACAGGACACTTGTGTGTATCATGTGGCTGCAGAATGCCCTGAAATCAAAGAAGGGCTCCAGCAAGCTCTTTGGGGAGCTCTGCTTTTGTTGTTACACCACCTTCATACCCCTTGCTTTAAGCACAGATGAGGAGGTTTGAATTTTAAAGTCTCTGCGGGTGAGTTTCAACATGGGTGAACAGGGACGGTGAGAGCACAGCACATCGCAGCTGGGCTCCGCGTGCCTGGGCAGCCCCAGCCCAGCGGCAACACCGGGCACCTCCACGGCAGCGCAAGAAGTGCTGCAACAGGCAGTTACCGAAAAGCCTCCCTGTAGCAGAAATGTGGTTCACTTCTCCATCCAGGAGACAGCAGGCCCCGCCCTGAACACGAGGACCGTTCTACCCAAACCCAGCTTTTCTCCAGTCCTGAGCCACAGGGATGCCTAAATTCCACGGGCTTCTCCCTCAGCTCCCTCCCCTCATGTCACTGGGGTAATTAGTTCCATATTGGCTCTTGCACAAAAAGAGGTTTCATTCATTTGGTTTCAATTTTCAGTCATTCTGACTGTCTCCTTGAGCATATATTCTATGAATGGCTAAACAGAAGAATCCAATTAACCTTTCTCTGTACCATTAATTATCCTAGACTGCTCTCGCATCCTTCTCTATATTACCTCTAATTAAGCAGATTCCACACTTTTTATAGCTGGAATTTTTTTCATATTGTTGTTCTTATTATTGCACTTTTGTAGCCCTCTCTCCTTTTCCTGTATCCGTTTCTCAAGATGGAGCAATCAGAACCACAAAGAACCATTCTGGATGCAATCAGTCCGCAGGCTTAGTCTTTTCAGCATTGCTTTCCCCCCCCTCTTACCTTATACTTCTCACCTAAGATGCTGTTTGCTGAATCTATCGGTGTGAGGGGTACTCAGATACAATGTAAAAACCTCAAAAAAAAAAATCAGGCAGGTGCTTTTGGGTTGCTTTTTTTGTCTGCTGCTAGAGCAGAGGCAGGAATTTGCATTTTTCTGCTTGCAGCAGTAGCTGAGCTTCTCCTCCGCGTTCCCTCCTAAATGCCAGCTCCTCTAGAAGACTTTAAGGACAGCTGGGTGCATCATGCAGCACATGGAAATCACAGTAGTCATAGTTTGATTGGAACCAGCTCATAGTCTTGCCCTGTAACTGCACTGGAGCCACTGCCTTTTTAAAACTAAAGCCACCCTGTTGGTTTCTATTTGATTTAAACCGCTGTAGCTCGAATGAAAACCTGACTTTATATGCAAGGTGAGATCTTTTTAGAGGTATTTCTTCAACTGATACACATTTTCTCTGTGGTTTTCTTCGAAAAGCTGCCATTTACATACAGTTAGGCGCAGAAGGCAAAGAGACACATTTCACCACAGCATCTCTGGACTGCTGCTGAGGAGGTGCATTCCCCATTCTGCGTGGATCACAAGCCTTTATTCTGTGCGAACAAGCCCTCAGCAGAGAGCAGGAAGCCACAGCGTGGCATCGCTGAATCTCTGATAGTCTCACCTCTCCTTCCTATAGCCTTTTCACCTCACACTTGGTCTCGAATGGGATCGCGGCACACAGAATCACTCTGGCCTCATTTATTAAACCAGCAGAGACATTTTCAGAAGAACTCTACCAGATCCTGCGCCTTCAGTACTGTGATCTGTACTGGTGTTGCTGATGTCGGTTGTGACTCGCTGGTAACAGCTGCAGCAGCGGGCAGGGCAGAGGACTCCTCTTCAGCAGACGGCCCTGCAGGGACCTCCATGGCTCTGCAGGAAAAGGAATGAGGAAAGAAACACCAAACTGCTCAGTTCCTCTCCCAGAAATGTCTGCAGGACACAGCAGCCGCGGTTGGTAGCATTATTCAGGGCTCAGCTGTCAAAACACCATTGAAAGCACAGGGCTCTCAGAGACGAATCTCTCACGAGGAGCAGGGGGCGGACAGGGAGAAATGTGACGCGAAAATTACCCAGCTCTGTAAATTTAACCCAGCTGCAGCTCTGTGCTCAGTGCACACAGGAAGGTTTCAGCCCCACTCCCTGCTCTCAGCAGGACTCTCCCCTGCAGAGGGCATCGCCCTGGGCTCTCTCTGGCTTCTTGTTTAACTTAAAGGGGAACCTGTGGGGGCCCTGAGGGGCCGCAGGCCTGCGGCTGCCCGCCCATC